ATCTCACTCAAATTTGAGATCCGTGTACTCAAATTCTCAAAAATTACGGTCACTCGGAATTCCGCTGGAAACTGAGGGATATTTACTCATATTCGAGAAATATTTTACTCAGTCTATGACTGACCGTGGTATAAGTGAATTTGAGGAAACGGAACCCAAATTTAAATGAGATTCAACGACAGAGTATAAAAAAAATCAAGAGAAAAGAGTGAAATCCATGTTTAATTTAGAAACATTCTGAATAGATACGTGTAAAAGAGAATGATCATGTAAAGAGTTTTGAGTGAATTACTAAGGTAGTTAAAAGTTTTAACTTTTAACCAGGGGTATTTTACGGCTGTCAAAACCCCTCAATTCAATTTGAATCCAACATGCCGTCGACTTTGACGTTCTTCAAGTAACAGGTAGGTCTATGGGACAGGTTGCTTCGATATTCCATCAACATGCATATTTCTAAATATGGCTCAGTAATAGCAACCGGTGGAAACTAACGATTTTAAATTGGCTCACTACACCCAACCGAGGGATGTAAGATTCGCTTACAATTATGTGGGATTCATCATCAGAGGATGTTAGTGGAGACCGCATGAACCGAGGATGCGATATACCTAGCTGCGGTCCAATGCAAGAAAATTGGAGACCGAAAAATGTAGAGTGTATTAGCGTATTAGTGAGGTAAATTATTTATGTCGAAAAAAATAGGAATCCGATTGCCGACTGGACTCGAACCAAGAACGCTCCGATTATCAGACCTGTGCTTTCTCCACTGCTCTCTCCATGCTCCTGAATATGGATAGCCTAAAGCAAACATGAAGCGCTCATTTTCTCGCATACTCGACTTCGTATGCTTTTTCTGCTGGAGAGATTCGAGGCAAGTGTGTGGGTCGTTCTACAATGTTCTACAATGTGCGTCGTTCTACAAGCTTACTGGTACCGTCGAAAGCGTAGATGGAACACGAAATGAAAAAGACAAAAAACCATTACATCGCCTGTAAGGTCAACTTCTAACATTCGCTGCGATGTTCATGAACAGAGGATGATAGGAAACGGAACTAACATTCATTGTAATAGATTTTTGGTTTGCGTGTACTTGAGTAGCCTATTGGTCCCAAGCAAATCGATTAACGTACCCCATTCTAGTACTACACTATGTTTGTTTTGATTCGCTATAAAAGTTTGACAGATAAAATGAAGGGTGCGTGGATTTTCCTATGTTTCGAGGGGTGCATCGATTAGCTTGGGACCGAAGATAGTACAGAGCTGAGCCAAAAAGTAGAGAACGTTTCTTCGGGACCTTCTGGTCTTAGAGTTACCTCTATGGTAATAGCATAGAGGTAACTCTAAGACTAGAAGGTCCCGAAATAACTTGCTCAACTTTTTGGTTCAGCTCTGGTACTCTCTTCGGTCCCAAGCTAATCGATTCACCCCTCGAAACATAGGAAAAACCAATAACCCCTCAATTTATCTGTCAAACTTTCATAGCGAATCAAAACAAACATTGCGCAGTACTAGAATTTCGACTAGAATGGGGTACGTTAATCGTTTGCTTGGGACCTATAGGCTAGTCAAGTAGTGAGCCAATTTAAAATCGTTAGTTTCGTATTGATTGTTGCTAAAACTTCATGTTAGATAGCATTACCAACCAATTCTGAAAGTTCCAGATGGTTTTGGCTCTGTTTGCCATTCATACTAACTGAGACTGGATCGTCCTCTACCAATTACACATTGTTGTTTGCTTAAAATCCTCTAAAGCAGTAAGAATTTTTGATTTAAAAACCGTATGAGAATTATTCTCACGACTGTTTGATCATTGGACAGTGACGTGTGATAGTGAGAGAACCTGTTTTCTCATGGTCACATGACGGCCGTGATATTTACCAGCACTGGACTGGATCGCCCTCCGAGGTTGAAAGTAGTTCATTACTTGAGTTGAGTTGAGTTCATAAGTTACAGAGAGACTTCTGATCTATACCTGGCTCTTCATTATGATTGATTGAAAAACTAAATACGCACCTACGCTATGGTGTTGTAAGTTTGCAAAGTCGATCTCTTCGTCGATGTCACCGTGAAGTGACACTCGTAATAAGACTAGAAAACTCGTATTCGTATTCGTATGAGCCGAATTAGAATCTGGGAACTTGTGTTGCACAGGGTAGTAGGATCATCTGCACGTCCATACGATCTTGCGAGGCTGTGGCTAGACAGCAAATTGCTCAGGGCCGTCAAGCGGGAACCGCTGAGCGCACCAAAACTCACTCTGTAGCGAGCCAAATTTTCTAAATTCATCAAGACTTTACAGTTGACCGATCGGAAGACCACCGATCGCACCGGGGCCTCTTGCGATGAACAAATTAAGCTAGTGAGGTGAATTTCCGTGCAAATCAAATTGAGTGTCACCTCACTAGTAACAGAGAGTCACACGACTCGTAGAATAGGCCTGCATATAGTCACACGACGTGACTTTTTTCACCTCACAAGTAACAGAGTCAAACGATTCGCAGAATAGGCATTTTTTTTCCTCTGTTCGGGACCTAACACCACTGCGACCAGTAATTTGATCTATTGTAGTATATCCCGTGTCCTTAGTTTAGTGCATGTCGTATTACTCCATCATTATTGAAAAATGATGAAGTATTCGATTTTTTTACAGTTATCATGCTTGCATTTATCGCAAGGATCCGACTCTAATTAAAAGGTCCCGCTATTTATACCCTTCAGAGTGTTGAAACACCCTCCAAAGGCGCGCCCCTTTGTCGGTCAAAATTGGATTCCTTAGCAACAAAATTAAGGAATGATAATGATCATGCATCAGATAATGATAATGACCATGCATCAGAACCCTAGTCTTAACCACTTCAAACTAGGGAACAGTGTTTATGTAGTTTATGTAGTAATGTAGATGAAGACAACTAACTCATTTTTTTTTACCTTGTTTCAAGATCATCCTCGGTAGACAAAGCCGAGTCTTGTCACTATCAACAAGGCATAAAAAGTAACAAGGACTAAGATGTGTTCCTTGCATTACTGAAAAATCATTTTCCCCTACTTTGAAGTAGTCAGGACTATTTAGGAATCGGTGGTAGATCTTACATCCCGTAACGTACCATGAAAAGGTGATCTACCCACGTTACGGGGCACGTTAGGCGTTAATGACAAGCAATACTATCTGAGAAAACACTCGGGGGAAAACGAGAAAAATTCTATACCGGAAGATCCTCGGCAAAACCGATATTCGAACCTGGCCGAAAACCCCTGTGATAACCGTTTCGTCTTTATTGATTGTTCGGTGTTAGGTCATTAAGCTGAAGTACGTTAGGCTGGATTTTCACAGCGAATCAAATTATATGGACTGAGTATTGTTAGTTTGATTGGATTCATGAGGCAGAAAACACTTACAGATTTTCGAAATGTGACATGACATGTGACAATCCACGAACTTATTGGGCTTTACATTGGAGTAAACAAAGGATTCATTCTTAGAAACGATTAGCAAAATGTCAACGCTTGACAGTGATGCCATTTTACATTATATTTTTTTTGTATTCTACTTAACGTGCCAAACAGTGTGCCATGCTGTGTTTCGGCACAGTGTGCAGAGTGTGTGTATTACCCCTTGGAGAAAACGCTATCTAAACCCATTTCAGTGCTAACATTTGAAAACGGCGCAAAAACCATTTGTAAACAAATGGTTTGTGGGCCCTTTACTCGCTACCCGAAGAACGCCCACGCAAAACAACAGCATCGTCAGGAAGGGGAAAATTTCCCCTACCCGATGTTGCTGTTGTGTCACGTGGGTGTACTTCAAGTAGTGAGTAAAGGGCCCACAAACCATTTGTTTACAAATGGCTTTTGTGCCGTTTTCAAATGTTAGCACTGATTTTATTAGCATCTACCTGTAGCTATATTTCAGCATGACGCTGGAAAAGATGGCTTATACAGCTGAAAATGTTTGTTGGGCTACTCTATCTCTATCAGATACTGCTGTTGGTTTACCTAAACCACTCATAAAAGCATAACTGTTCTGGTTTCATCATACTCTTGTATACCATGAGTTTGGGCTTTAAGAATGCTTCAAAACCACAGTAAAATCTGCCATTTTAGTTGGAATATGAATGGGCAATCAGGCTGAGATGGGCAGTTATGCTTTTATAGGCAGTGAATGATTCTTAATCATGGAATCAAAAATATCTCCAAATGACAAAATGACAAGCGATCAACGAGCCGAACGATAACGCTTTGTCCGAAATGGAAAGCAATAATGATATAATCTTCTTCCTTTTACATAACAAACAGCTCCTGCAACACAGCTCGCTCATGCCGGTGGAAGGAAACGACCAAATTGTTGGCAAGCTGTTTCAGGAAGTAAAGCCGAAGACGATACAGGTGTGTTAATCATTATCCTTCTACCACTCCGATCGAGCTGTGTTGCAGAGAGAGAGAGTTTGTCGTGGTAATCGTAGCAAGCGATTTATCTGTATCGTTGGTTGCTTTATGTGTTTGGATTGGCTGGTCTTAATTCGTATGAAATGTCACAAAACCATAAACGAAAGGTAGCTCGAATGGTTGAACCATTCCAAAAACAGTTTGGATGATGTTACGAACACGTCGTTGAGCACTTTTTATGGAAATTTTTATATGAGTGTTGATGTTCAAAGTAATTGGTTGCATTTAAGTCATGGGATCTTTTCCCTTGTTGCTCTAGAATTCATAGTAGTCAAAATTTGCCAACGGTAAGTTGAAATTTTCAAAATAATCATAATTAATGTACCTAATAGACTGATAGAAACCTAACAGACTGATAGAAATCTGTCAATCCGTTTATAAAGTTAATATTGAATTGTCCGAATCAAACGACTATCTGCCATCGATGTGTTAAATGAACAAATCGCATTACATGTATTATATATCATTTCAGAAGGTTTTACTTTGAATTCCTAAAAATTTTGGGATTGTATTCGAGTTTAGCTAAAAATAAGAATCGGACACAATTTCAGAAGAACTTCGTTTCGCCTAATTTTGAAACACCGCATTCCAACAGTTGATAAACTTTGTCCATGATAAAACTCACCTGGAACCGTCGTCCGTTCGTCGTAACGAAAACTTAACTTAGTTAACTATGGCGAGTAAGTTAGGTAAGAGTTAGGCAAAAAACTTGCTTCCGTTATGTAAAAGTAATACTCTCCGGTTGAATATAGGTAGAAACTGTCGTTAGTTAGTACAGGGATCTTTCTTTAATACCATATGGTTTTCAGTGTAGAAAATGAGAAGTAAATGCCGATTCACCTAAGTGATCATGTCACCACATAAAGTAAGGGAAAATAAAAAGTTGAATGTTGTTCCTACAAGGTTAAGAGGGCACAGTGGGCACCGTGAAGCATCGCAGTGTTGCCAATTCAATCGATATTTTATTGTCTTCGAATGGTATCATGATGACGATGATGATGATGGTGACGACGATGATGATGATGACGATGATGATGATAATGATGTTGAAGCCTGAAACGGTGATCAACGCAAATTTAAGTGTATAATACAAACGCGATCGCGGAAAACGGAAATTTCTTTATTGTCCAACCGATCGTTGTGCGTGACTCGTCCTAACGGATTGTTCTAACGTTGTCGAAAAATAGTGGGCGGATCTCTCAGCTTCATTCGACCTACTAGCTCTGTCTTCGGTACTCAATTAATGTCGGTTCTGTTCGGTTTACGTTTTTTTTTTTTACTATATGGACGGCAGATAAGATAAATACTCCAAAAACTGACTCAGTTGCGCACTTTTCCTCTCGTTCTACAGAGAGATTTTATGATGTAGATGAAAGTTTCAACTAAATCTGAAAAATCCTATAAAATAGTTGCACTGGGACGGATGTGGCGTTATGTTATGTCGTTTAGTCGGGAAGTATTCAAGCAGGTTTCGCCTCTTCTAATGGATACACGTTGCTCTGATTGGATGGTGCAGAGATGGAAAATACAAATCTCTGCCATCGAACAATTTTAAATTGACTTTTCTACATGCTACGATAGAGGTTGCTCCGGAATTTACAGAGAACTGCACTGCCGAAGGTACATACTTATTTCAAGCTAGCTGTCCTATTCGAGAATATTCACAAAATGGTACTGCAGTCATGTGATTTTGAGCGCGTGCCAAGTCTGTTTTGCTGCTGCCGAGAAATGATAACGTAAAATGGTCGCCACTTTTGCCCACTGTGCGAGAAAATATAGAAATTGTGATCTGTTCATTTAGAGTATCGCTATTTTTTTAACCAAATTAATATGATATGTTAATGGCCTAAAAAATTCAAACACTTCAAATGAGAAAGCTGGTAACTGATAAGAAAAATTTCACAACGCTTAAACTTGTTCTATTTCTTCTTGGAACCTCGTAAAGTTGCGTCTCCTTGTCACACAAATACCAACTGTGGTAGTTTTTATTGTATATTCTGCGTGGCTAATGAATCTCGTTTATAGCAAAAATTGTTCGTATTCGTAATGATATCTACAACTCTCTCATCTCTTGTCATATTAAAAACCTGTCCACTAGTTTGCTCTGCTAGGTAATATAAATGCTTTACGAAATTATACACTTCTAAGTATCTTCCATACTTCGGCTCATAATTTGAAATAACTGGTTATCCAAAACGGTTTCTCCTCTATTTACTTTGCTTACCATTATTACTTTTACTGTCTCAATTGTATTACTGTACGAAATCTTCTGGTTGCGCTAAATTAATATAATTCATATCCTTTATTGTTGCCCTATTCTCGTCTTGAGTTGATTTCCTCAGCCATTTTTCTTTGTGAATGCATCAGAGTACTTTTTGTACAAAAATCGAACCTAGACTATTGACTCGTTTGACTCCCTTGTGGAGAAACGCTGCATGTCTAAACGGTTTGGCAAACCTAGGGAACCAAAGAACGTAACCAAACTGAAAAGTCCTTAAACTAACCTCATATGTGATGACCTACACACTACTGCATTGATGTTTCTGTTCTGTTAGGTTACCGGTAGCCTTCCGAAAGGTACTGACGATTATGTGTTCCGTTCGGTAGAGAAAATAGATCGAATAAATACGGGTTTTATATAATCCTATGAACTTTTGTTCGGCTTTCGTATGCACCTCAGTGAAAAAGTGTAGGTAGAACTTCTACTTCTATGTTTGCTTCTTATGTTTCTCACGCAGTGCTTCGCTGATTATAGACGAGCAAAAACTAGGATGTATAGGGAAAAAGAACAATACCTCTAATTATCACGCGCTGGAGTAGTCGAGCGATCGGTTCGACGGTCCCGGGATGGCGTCGTCGTCCAGGACAAACGTGGGACTTTGCCGTGAGGTTGAGGCAATTGGTTGGTAGTGATAACCCTGACGGTTGCGGTGATTCGATTTCTGCATATTACCTAAGGTAGGACGCTGATTATACGTTTGGTCGGGACGTTTCACTGAAACAACAAAAAAACAGATTTTTTTTTCTCAAATGCCTAGCAACTTCAAATAAAAAATCCACTAACCTGGTATATAAGAATTCTGGTTACTCGTTGGTGTCACGATATCACCCGTTTCTGTTTTGCTGTTGTAGTTCCGATGATTCGACAGCTCTGTCGCGTTAATGTTGTTATTACCGGTAGCAGTGTTGTTTGCAATATTCGTTAGCTCGTTACTACAAATAGGACTAAGTTCGCGCTCCTCCAAGCACATGTCACTGTAGTCGTCGATCACGTGGCGATACTGGGAGGGACATTTCGTTAGTGCCGCCAGGACCACTGCTTCGATGGAGCAAACGTAACCGATAATCTGGAACGATGCAAGTTTTAGGTGTAACTTCTTCATTTCCTAGGCTTTTTACGCATCTGTAGTGAGCGTTTTGTCGGCTCTCAACTTAATACCCTAGATGCACTACCACAGTTATTAATTGAGAGCTTTCTATGTCAATGAATGCTTGAAATTGTATATTGTGTGGCAAGCACAGGAAAGTCGAGACAATTTCCAACGCGAAATATTTCCTCGACCGAACCGGTAATACCCTGCCTTCACTGACTAGGCTGCATCAATAAAACATCGAATGATATCGAACAACACGAAAGAACTTACCGCTGATATGAACAATGTGTCCTTGGTATGCTTTGGCACCCACATAAATTCCTCAGCAAAAAACACCATGTGTATTAGCAACGATGAACCAACGAGAAATAATAAACCGATTGTCAGGTACATCCATGCATTCTAGAATAAGATTTTCGAGATTAGAGCCAGTTGATTAAAATGTATACGATTTAAACTTACCAATTTTCCCCAGTTGAAGGGAAACATTAATGCTATATGCGATATATCCAAAAATAGCATCAAACACGTCACTAACAGCGAGAATAGGGCGCAAAAGACCTGCAAAGAAGAAAGTAGACATTAGTTTTGGACACACTTCAGCCACGCTTTCTAGAATTAATTTCTGTGACTAAAACAATATGCTGTCCAATGTGAACGTCAAACAAAGAATTCTTCTTCATGGCTTTTACGTCACAATTGAAGCTTTGAGGCAGCCTTCAACGTGTTGTTGTAATTGAAAGCTTTCTTAAGGCGACTCTCTAATAGGGAATTCGTTTATTATTCAGTTCCAACCTGGATCGGGTATCGAGATCGGGTCTGCTTGTTTTCTTGCAAACGTCAGATTGATCGTTTGTTTTTAAAACCTAGCTCAGGTTGAGGTTCGCACTGACAAAAGGTTCGGTTTCGCACTGGGTTGGAACTGGTTCCAACCCCAATAATAAACGAATTCGCTATAAGAAAGCCTTATCTTGAAATTTCACACATGTCAGCTCCCACGAAACAAACAATTATGAAATTACGCTACTGCAATTGTAGAGTTCCAGTTTCACGATTGTAGATCTGACATTTGTGCTCTCGAAGATTGAAAATAAGACTCCCTTGGTGACTCCGTGACGAGTCCTTTTTCGTAGTTCACTTCGCAATATCACAAGTCAAAATACAGCTATGCCCCGAAGAACGCGTTACCCACTGAGTTGCACCCACCACTTTTTCTCGGCGGAGTTTCAACGGTTTAAGAGCGTTTGGTTAAAAAACCCACCGACACAAAGCGATGGGTAGAACTCAGTGGGTAACGCGTTCTTCAAGGGAAAGCTGTACAGTCAGGAATCCTTATTGCCGGGGTAACAGGGGCGTGAATAAGGAACCGCGAATAAGGATACCCACCGCTTATGGGATTTTCACTAATGGGGGCTGTGGTGGATTATCTCATTTGTTACAATATATAGAGCTATGCTGTCCTGGGCAAAGTTGTTGTACTGAGATAGACCAACAAGCCTGTGTCATTGGATTTAGTTTTAATTGGGAACTACGCCGCTTGGGACGCTTCACTTTTATGTTACTTAAAGGGTGATACGGTCAAAATTTGGTCAATATCAACTTGACGTATTTCTTTCAATTTTGCATTTAAAAAACCTGAACACCCCTCATTTTGAAGGTGTGTGTGTGTAGAATGTTGCTCCTATTTTGATTTTGGAATTCACTCTTCAGTTGTCAAAATGCCGTCCAAGCAAGAAGAGCAGCGTATCAAAATTTTGCTCGCGCATCGCGAAAATCCGAGCTACTCGCACGCAAAGTTGGCAAAATCGCTAAAAGTTGCCAAATCAACCGTTACAAATGTAATTAAAGTGTTTGGGGAACGTTTGTCGACAGCCAGGAAGCCTGGATCGGGGGGAAATCGAAAACCGGAAGCCGCTGAGACGACAAAGAGAGTCGCCGGTAGTTTCAAGCGAAACCCTAACCTCTCTCTCCGAGATGCCGCAAATAAGCTGGGTGTGTCGTCTACAACCGTGCATCGAGCCAAAAAACGAGCCGGACTATCGACTTACAAGAAGGTAGTGACTCCAAATTGCGATGATAAACAAAATACGACGGCCAAAGCGCGATCCCGGAGGCTGTACACGACGATGCTGACGAAGTTTGACTGCGTGGTAATGGACGACGAAACCTACGTCAAAGCCGACTACAAGCAGCTTCCGGGACAGGAGTTTTATACGGCAAAAGGAAGGGGAAAGGTAGCAGATGTTTTCAAGCACATGAAACTGTCAAAGTTCGCAAAGAAATATCTGGTTTGGCAAGCCATCTGTACCTGTGGCTTGAAAAGCAGCATTTTCATAGCTTCCGGGACTGTCAACCAAGAAATTTACGTGAAAGAGTGTTTGAATAAACGTCTGCTGCCTTTCCTGAAGAAACACGGTTGTTCCGTACTGTTTTGGCCGGATTTGGCATCTTGCCATTACGGTAAAAAGGCCATGGAGTGGTACGCCGCCAACAACGTGCAGGTGGTTTCCAAGGACAAGAACCCTCCCAACACGCCAGAGCTCCGCCCAATTGAGAAATACTGGGCTATTGTCAAGCGGAACCTAAAGAAGACCAAAAAAACTGCTAAGGGCGAGCAGCAGTTCAAGGCAAACTGGCTTTCTGCGGCGAAGAAGGTGGACAAGGTGGCTGTACAAAATCTGATGGCAGGGGTCAAGCGTAAGGCCCGGCAATTCGGATTTGGAAAAGCGGAAGCCTAACTGAATATTTTTCCTGAATTTTATACTAATTGAACTTGAAAAAGAAATTTAATTTGATTTTTTAAATAAACGATTTCACCGATTTACACGCGTTTTCCCTTGACCAAATTTTGACCGTATCACCCTTTATGACGGGTGCTATAATATATGGATCCTAGGTCCAACATACAATATTTCGTGATCCTGGCCATATAGAAAGTTACTGTTTTCAGCAAAGTTGTTCAAGTGACCAAGTCCTTTCGGATGGTGGCCATATTAGTTCAGAACTCTCTCACTACGCAGCGTTAGTGTGCATGTGAACTTCCTATATCAACTGTATCTCGAGAACCTGGCCATATAGAACGTTGCTGTCTTGAGCAAAGTTGTTCAGGTGACCAAGTTCTTTCGGATGGTTGTCATATTATTTAAAAACTCTCTCACTACGCGGCGCTAGTGTGCACATGAACTTCCTTAATATGTTATTTCTGGAAAGCTTGTCCATATAAGATGTTGCTGTGCAATGTGAGAACACGAAACGGAATAGGGATAACGTGTAGAGAGGCTGTAAATCGATTTCGGACGTCATTTTAAAATCCAAGATGGCGGTCATCGATTCAAGAAAAACTGTCAAATACCCTACAATATGGGTATTTTCGGAAAGGGAACGACGTGTAGAGGCTGGAAATCGATTCCAGACGCCATTTTGAAATCCAAGATGGCGGCCATCAGTTCAAGAAAAACTGTCACATACGCTACAATATGGATATTTTCGGAAAAGTCATGACGTGTAGAGGCTGGAAATCGATGCCAGATGTCATTTTGAAATCCAAGATGGAGGCCATCCCCGACCAGAAGGAAGTATCAGAAATAAAACACTCTGTGTTACTGAGATATAAAATTATTCGTAACATGGTCTGTTATAAAACATGTACCGTTAGTAGTTAAAATAACAAAAAATGTAACAAGAAATCTTCTACGTACTATCAAGAATATAACAGCTATTGTTAGGGTTATATCATATTTCTAACACAGCTTGTTACAAAATAACCCATTAGGGTAAAATCTAAAAAGGGTATAAACTGGACTTTTTAACACGGTTTTTGGGTAACAAATTTTTTGAGTGTTTTCTATTATTAGATTGTTGTTAAAATATTTTAAAAAAAATCCCCTCCCCTCCACAGCACCCTTCTCCCTCCTTTTAGCCTGCTTTACAAACACAAAAAGCGTCTATATAGCTGCCACACGGCTTCGAACCCAGACGTTTAAACAATCTTGGCTAGTGCCTTTACCATCTAGTCTAAATCTACTGTTGAAAAATGAGTAGATGCAAGCTAACCTGTGTATGCCAGGCAGAACCTTCTTAGTTCGCTGGCGCCGGCAACTGAGGTAAAAATAAATCGTGTGTTCTCAACACCTCTCACTCTCTGCAATCTTGCTTCACTGACGTAAAAGAAGCGTGGCTAAATATATGTGTAACAAAATTTGTTATAATTCTCAAGTTTTGCCGTTTACATTGCACTCACTAATAGGAATTTTTTCTTCTGATTATAAAGTAGCATAAACATTTTTTGTTTCTCCTCTGTTCGGGACATAAAACTACTGCGACCAGTAATTTGATCTATTGTAGTATATCCCGAGTCCTTAGTTTAGTGCATGTCGTATTACTTCCTCACTATTGAGAAATGATGAAGTATTCGGTTTTGATACAGTTGTCATTCTTGCCGTCATCGTTAGGAATCGATTCTAATTGAAAGGTATCGCTATTTATACCCTTCGGAGTGTTGGAACACCCTTCAAAGGCGCGCCCCTTTGTCAGTCAAAATTGGATTCCTTAGCAACAAGATTAAAGAATGACACCGATAATGACCATGCATCAGAACCCTAGTCTTAACCACTTCAAACTAGGGAACAACGAATAGAAGATTAGGAATCACATAGATGAAGACTAACTAACTCATTTTTCCTTGTTTCAAGATCATTCTCGGTCCAGGCAACCCGAGGACTTATCACTATCGACAAGGCATAAAAAGTAACAAGGACTAAGATGTGTTCTTTTGATTTCTGAAAAATCCTGTTACCCTAGTTTGAAGTAGTCAAGACTAGGAATCGGTGGTAGATCTTACATCCCGTAACGTACCACGAAAAGGTGATCTACCCACGTTACGGGGCAGCATAAACATTAAATTTAGCTATATGAATGTAATTAATTTAAGTATATGTAACAACACAAAAATAAGATGAAAGTGATTCATTAATTGCATATGCATTATTTGAATTCTAATACAGTGTTGCATATTTTGTTTGGTAATGCTTTGTGATCTGTCTCCCACACCATTTCAAGTTGAAGATATATTCGAGGATATTTTTGATTGCTAATGTTCGACGGTTAGTGTTGAAATTTTCCATTGATTATTTAAATTTGTATATCATCAAAAACATTTGTATATCACAAATTGCAAAATAATTATTTATAAAGGTAGCTCAAAGAACGCTACTGAACTGATAATTTATGTTTTCTGATTCCGTCGCTTTGTCAATAGGTAGTTTGATTTGACTTGTGAAATGAGGCCCCTGGATTTCTATCGAGTTAGGGAGAATCAAGTTAAGGAGAGATCGAGTAAGGGAGAGTTGACTGTAATAATTTATTTAATTCCTGGCATCCCTATCAGAAGAGAATGCTATAAAAAATATATATAGGGGAAAAAGCACTAACTTTGGCCTATGGATCTAATAAAAATCTACCGTTCTTCAATTTTTCGTAGTACAAAGCGTCATCTGGACAATAAAAATGAATTTGAATTATTATCAAAAAATGCTTGCCTTCTAAATTAATTTATGGGCCCA